AACAAACAAAAGAGAATTAGTATACAAAAAGGAAAACGAATTAAGATCATTTGTTTATAAAGGAACCAACAAAAAAAAAACACCAGCTACAAAAACGAACGAAGAAACAAAACATAGGCAAAAACTATTCACAGTAGCAAGAAACCTTCTGCCCTGAAAAATAAAAAAAGAGAATCAATATACAGAACACAAAAGGATCAAAAGAAAATTAGTATACAAAAAATGAAAACGAATTAAGATCATTTGTTTATAAAGGAACAAAAAAAAAATACAACATCAGCTACAAAAATGAACGAAGAAACAAAACACAGGCAAAAACTATTCACAGTAGCAAGAAACCTTCCGCCCTGAAAAAACAAAAAAAGAGAATCAGCATACGGAACACAAAACGATCAAAAGAAAATTAGTATACAAAAAATGAAAACGAATTAAGATCATTTGTTTATAAAGGAACAAAAAAAAATACAACATCAGCTACAAAAAATGAACGAACCTTTCGCCTTGAAAAATGAAAAAAAAGAGAATCAGTATAAAAAACACAAAACAAACAAAAGAGTATAAACAACAATACCTACAAACACAAACGAAGAAACGAATCGGAGGCACTCTCCCATGACGAAAATGAATCAGAGGTTCTTCCTTGATTTGCTGTTAGTGTTCGTCTCTTTGGGCAATTCACACAACTCTCCCCTTTTCTTCTCAGACAACCTCAACTTCATTGTTTTGGAAGACGAAAAGAAGAAAAGAAAGAAGCTATTTTTCTCAAGGAAACAATTAGCAAAAATTGTATACATGACAGAAGAACGAAATAACAATGCACAATGTTTCTTTTTATAGACGACGCAAGCAACAAAAGAAAAGCAATAAGAAATTAAATGAGCTGTCTGTCACCCAAAACTTTCCAAATCTCTTGCCACCATCCATATTTTAAATTCAAAATTTCAAATCATTTCAAAATTCGAATGTTAAATCAGCTGAGTAATAATTCCAATGTAAAAAGCAATTAAATCAGCTGACCAATTCCAATGTGATGGGCAGTGGGACATTCAATGCCTTGTCTGCCACTACAAATGGTCATATATTTTTCGATTTAAAAAAAAATTCGATTTTTACAAGAAATTCTTTTTCCAATTTACCAAAGAAGGAAAATTTTTATATGACATGTAGTGTGAACACAATTTTCAGAAGTAAGCAGGGAGTGACACATCAGCGAAGTTTCCAACATTGAACTCTCCTTTATATATATATATAGATGCTATTAGAAATTTATCCATCGGTTACAAATTCTTTTTCAGCAGGAAGACAAAAAACTATTCACAGGCATCGAAGACGTTAAAGAAAAAAAACACAGGCAAGCACTACACAAGATCGAAGACGTTGAATACATGCAAAAACTATTCACAGTAGCAAGAAACATTCCACCCTGAAAAACGAAAAAAAGAGAATAAGTATACAGAATACAAAACAAACAAAAGAAAATTAGTATACAAAAAATGAAAACGAATTAAGATCATTTGTTTATAAAGGAACAAAAAAAAAATACAACATCAACTATAAAAACGAACAAAGAAATAAAACATAGGCAAAAACTATTCACAGTAGCAAGAAACCTTCCGCCCTGAAAAATAAAAAAAGAGAATCAATATACAGAACACAAAACGATCAAAAGAAAATTAGTATAGAAAAAATGAAAATGAATTAAGATCATTTGTTTATAAAGGAACAAAAAAAATACAACATCAGCTACAAAAACGAACGAAGAACACAGGCAAAAAAATACAACATCAGCTACAAAAACGAACGAAGAAACAAAACACAGGCAAAAACTATTCACAGTAGCAAGAAACCTTCCGCCCTGAAAAAATAAAAAAAGAGAATCAGTATACAGAACACAAAACGATCAAAAGAAAATTAATATACAAAAAATGAAAACGAATTAAGATCATTTGTTTATAAAGGAACCAAAAAAAATAAAAAATTCAACATCAGCTACAAAAACGAACGAAGAAAGAAAACACGGCAAAATCTATTCACTGTAGTAAGAAACTTTCGCCCTGAAAAACAAAACAAAAAAGAGAATCAGTATAAAAAACACAAAACGAACAAAAGAGTATAAACAGCAATACCTACAAACACAAACGAAGAAACGAATCAGAGGCACTATCCCATGACGTAAATGAATCGGAGGTTCTTCCTTGATTGCTGTTAGTGTTTGTCTCTTTGGGCAATTCACACAACTCTCCCCTTTTCTTCTTAGACAACCTCAAATTTCTTGTTTTGGAAGACGAAAAGAAGAAAAGAAAGAAGCTATTTTTCTCAAGGAAACAATTTGCAAAAATTGTATATAGGACAGAAGAATGAAATAACAATGCACAGCGTTTCTTTTTATAGACGATGCAAGCAACAAAAGAAAAACAATCAGAAATTAAATGAGTTGTCTGTCACCCAAAACTTTCCAAATCTCTTCCCACCATCCATATTTTAAATTCAAAATTTCAAATCATTTCAAAATTCAAATTTTAAATCAACTGAGTAATAATTCCAATGTAAAAAGCAATTAAATCAGCTGACCAATTCCAATGTGATGGGCAGTGGGACATTCAATGTCTTGTCTACCACTACAAATGGTCATTTATTTTTCAATTTAAAAAAAATTCAATTTTTAAAAGAATTTTTTTTTCCAATTTACAAAAGAAGGAAAGTTTTTATATGACATGTAGTGTGAACACAATTTTCAGAATTAAGCAGGGAGTGACACATCAGCGAAGTTTCCAACATTGAACTCTCCTTTATATATATATAGATTTTTTACAGTTGCCTTTAAATTCACTCTTTGTGGTCTTTATAACATATATATGAGATAAAAAGTTGGAAAAAATTTGAGTTCGTATATTTAATATTCTATCAAACACTTTATAGTTGAATAGGATAATATCAAAAGATCATTCGTTAATTTAATTACATAATAATAAATATTATTAATAGGCTTAACAAAATATTATTAATAGGTTTAACAATTTTTGATGCAGAAAGTTGTGGTATTATTAATAGGCTTAACAAGGATACCAAAAAGTAGTGTGATATTAATATAGCTATTTGACAACCAAAATTTTAAACTCTTTTTCCCACTTATGAAGTTTAAATTTCAAATTTAAGTTATTTTTTTCAACTATAAATATATTTTTATAATTTTAAGTAGATTTTTTGTTGAATCTATAATCTTATATTAAATTCAAATTTATTATATATGTTATTTTTCCACTGCAGAAACATTAATTGCTGAACTCTTTCCCCACCTATCAAGTTCGAAATTCAAATTTAAAAAGTTTAAATTTTAAATATTAAATATTTTCTCACTCAATAGTTATAATAATAAATTTTACTAATAGCCTTAATAATTTTTCATACAAAAAGTAGTGAAAAGCATCCAGAGAAGGTTGTGCACTTTTTCCATGTAATGGCTTTTAGTTATTCATCCGCGACATAGAAAATTGTGTTAATTATACTCTTGCAATAAAAAAATGAAAGTTTAATTTCTTTCTTATATACTAAATTAAAATTTTCATTTTTATAGTTATTAAATTTATATAATTTTCTTTTACCGAATGATAGATGTCATTTTATTTTTTGTTTAAATTTAAAATTTAAATTCTTTTGTATTAATTTATGATTTTCATATTTTTTTTAAATTGGTTATACATGTATATTCAAAATATGTATGTTAAATATTTAAAAAAAATATTTGTACGAATTTTTTCCCCTTTTTTATTACTTTTTTAAGTTTCAATTTTAATAAATATTTCAATTTAAAATTATTTTAGTTTTTAACTTTTTTCTTTAGTATAAAAAAAACACTTTTCAAAATAAGAACAATTATAAAATTATGTTTGGCTTATACTTATAAAGAAAAGACAAGCTAAAAATAAGAGTTCACAAACAGTTACTTAACTTGTTTGATCAATTTGCACAACATCAAAATTCTTCCTTTAGTTTAAGAATATTTTTGATTAAATAAAAATTATTTATAATAATTATGGGACTAATATTTCTCTTGTTATAGGAGAACAAATTATCTCCTACACACACATAAAAATGTGTGAGACTCATGTGAATTCATGTGAGGAGAAGAAAGATAAAAAAAATGGACCCAATACACTATTATGTGTATGTAAAAAATAAAAATATCTCTTAATAACATTAATTCTATTAAGTGTTAATTATTAAAAATGAAATGAAAAGATAAAAATATATAATAAAATTTAAGATGTACAGGAAAAATCATGTCACATGATCCAGTGAAACTTGTTATAGACCAGTATCATTAATGGGCCGAGCAAGTTTCAATCGGTAAAATTTTTTGAAATCCACATTGCACAAGTCGTTTTGCCCCACTTTCTGCACCCTTTATTGTTGATTCAGCATTTTCCTTCCTCCATGGAACCGAGGTCTTTTACTTTCCTAAAGATAAATAAATAAATAATAATAAATTTTTTTTTTAATTTGGGGGCATGGCCGGCCACCTCTAGTCCCTGCCCTGTTTATATAAAATGTCATGTTTTTACGGTTTCAATTTTCTCTTGCAATAAGAGATAATTATATTATATTACAGTTTTACAGACAAATCCTTTGATAAGACCCACATCTAAAATAATAAAATATGAATAATTGCAAAGTTTGATATGATTTAAGGTTTTACGAGATATTTAGAAAGTATACGTAGCAACAAACTGAATTTCTTAGGACCATAACTGATAGTTGATCTCAAACAACTAAAACTGCTAACCAAACTACAGTATAACGGAAAAAATATGAAAATGAAAGACACTGTATAGAGTAAAAGTTTACCCCAAAACTTCATGAAATACTTATTATTCATAATTCAGCAACTAGTTATGCTAAACTTCATAACCTGAGGCCTTATATTTTATAAATACCAAGATTGTTGCTGAAGCAACACCAGAAAATACTGAGGTTGGTTTCAAACGCAGTATACTGAAGCTTTAGGAATCCTTCCATTCACACTGCAGCTTGCGCTTAAGAAGGACAAAGAGTCCAACTATTTTACGCTTTTGTATATCCATGATTTCCTTGAATTCCATCAGTTTCTTAGCATGTCGATCAAAGAGTTCATCAACAATACCATCTCCAAAATGGTTCTCAATTAGTCCTTCCAATGCAGCTCTATGGAGGGAAGCAGACGAGGGGACTTCTATCTCCAAAACAGCATCCATTATTTCCATTTGCTCGATGCTGAAATCTTCATTACTTTCAAGAATTTTCATCAGATCCTTTCGGGGTGAGAAATATATTGGCAAATTGAAAGTGTCCACCTTTTCTTCATTGATTTTTCCCTGCAATGAATCAGTATAATCACATAGATTACTTTTATTCTTTCTCTCTAGTATGAGTACATGATAGTAGTTTATAGTCAGTGGATAGTAGATTATAGTTTATAGCCCTTAAGATTGTTTGATTGAAGTGGTCTTGCGTTTCAGACTCTAGTTTTGAACTTATTTCCACTCATATTCTTCAACTTTGTTGCAATTTTCAAAAGTACTTTTGTTTCAAAACAATTTGTGCGAAGAGCCAATTCTAGCTCTCTTGATTTTCTAATAGACAGGGCAATTCCTTACCTCCTTGGCCATGTCCAATAAGCAATCTCCCAGAAGTTCAAGATCTTTACCATTAAAAATAACGTCATTTGCAACAGGAATTTGAAGTGCCATTAGCCCATTGCCCACAAGCTCTTGTGCTCTTGCACGGAGGAAAGTTTCCATGTCTTTCTGATACTGACTTGCATAGGCATCCACAACTTCCTTGGGAGCATTCGTGTAATGAATTCTCCCCTTGTTCCAAGCAGTAGAAGTTCTATCTGTAATCACTTTGGGCACCTTAGAGATCCAGTTTAGAGATGCAGATGAATGAACAAAATAAAGGCTCTCCATTGGAAATAATCTTCCATAGAAAGAGCCAGGAACCCCAGCTGCAAAGTACTTTCTGTTGGAAGGAAGATTTTTGAAGAGTGTGTTGAAATCATTTGACACTTGGTCGTTGAAGAAAACTTGTAACTCTGGGACAGCAAGACCATGTGACTGGTATTGGAGCTCTATTGCTTCTACAATGAATTGAACTGCAATAAAGGTATTAGGCCCTGTGGAGCACCCCAAGTCTGCAATGCAAATTGGTTTCTTAGAAGCAGCAGAAATAGTCTTGGGGTCAAATTTGTTGGCTATTGCACTCTGGATTAAGCTTTTGGCAGCTTCAATTCCTACTCTCTGCAGATAACATGTGGTTAATTATATCCCTTCAACATAACTCTCACTATGATTTTAAGTATGGTACAGTGCATAATGCATACAAAACACAAACAATAATTAATCTGCTGAAAATCTATGCTGGTCTAATGAAGAATCAAACTCTACCAGCACTTCAGTTGGAAACAAAATTTAACTTTTTTATTTGCAAATTAATTATGATGTGGACCAATGCATAAAGCAGATCAATAGATTTCAAGATATATGTTGCCGTGTATAGTTGCATTGTATGCTAATTAAATTAAACTAGAGAAAGTGTACGAGTAAGATATAGATATACCTGAAGGTTTGAATTTTGGGCATAACTGTGAGGGCCCTCTCCTCCCTTCATAGCGAATGAATCAGAAAATGCCTTGACAAATTCATTCTCCATCTTGCTGTAAAGGGGTGCTATATGTATCTGCATGCTTCAAACAATCTTTATCAGACCCAAAAGCAAGGAATAAAAAATAAAAAAATAAAATTCAAAGAGAAGACTGCTAACCCTTCAATGTCTAAGAAGTGTTTCGTCAAACAGGAGCAAGTATGAGTTTGAGGAATCTGAGTTTCTGGACGATGCAAGAAGAAGCTAATGGCATACATATTAATAGGGACTTCATTTAGTGCCATGTTAAAAGACGTTACGTAAAAATCATGAAAAAAAAATCAATAATAATAAATACATGACGTGCGCATTGAAGCAATTACTTAGAATACAGACATTTTATGCCGAAACCGCCAACTTGTTCGATTAATTAAAATAAAGGGTGGGGAAAAAAAATGATAGTTAGCCCCAATATGCAGTACTGCTTTTATTTTTTTAATTTTTACTATTACGGTAAAACAGCTAGTGGACCTAACCTGTAATCTCTTACCCAAGAAAGATCCAAGTATAGTTGTTTATATCTGGCATAGCATTCATCAAAATAAAATTAAGAATTAAGTATAGGATGTGTTTGATTATGTTTTGTTTTTTTTTTTTTTTTTTTAAAACTGTTTTGTAAAATAGTTTTTAAGAATTGATTTTCAGAATAAAAAAAGAAAAAAACCAGTTTGATAAATTTGTTCTGGAAACAATTTTAAAGGTTAAAGAATAAAAAAATCTGCTTGGTAAATTTGTTCTTAGAACATGTTTTTAGAACAAAAAAATAAAAAATTCGTTTGATTGTTATTTTTTTAAAATAATTTCTACTATTATATCTAAAAACTTATATGTGTTTTTAAGATAAAAAAAAATTATATTACAAATCTTTTCTAAGACCAATGCAAACCATAACAAACATTTTAAGTTCAATATGTTCCACAAGATTACTATATAAATTACTATCAGTCAATGTATTATAATTGTAACGAACCAAAGTTAATGTAATCAAAGTCCAATATATTTAATAAGCAACACATACAAACATAAGTTAGGGTTTAGTGCCCTAATAAAAAAACCTGCATATTAGAGACACAATAAGTTCAGCACTTTAAGATTGGGGTGTTCAATGAAGTTAATTAGTGTTGCATGCAAGTGAATGAAAGGCTTTTCAAACCATTTACTACTTATTTATTGTGATCAAGCCGATTCTCGGGCTGATCAAGCAGCTTCGCATCCTCAGCAAGCCTTTCCTCAAGCTGGCCAAGCATCAACCACAATTTAAAGAATGATGGGAATTGCTTCAGCCCTTCATCCTGACTCTTGCTGTACCCCCTTTTTCTTTGGCTTTAGCCAATAACATCCTTGCTCTCTCAGGTTCATGGTTTTCAAATTCTAGCTTGAAAGCCGCAAGCCATATTTCATAAGAATTGGGAATGGCAGCATAAGCTTCTTGGAGGATAGCACAAGCTGTGGGCACATCTCCAGCAAGCCACTTCTCTTTGGCACCTATAAGCCAGAGAACTTCAGCCTGTGGTCTGTAGGTAACTGTTTTACGAAGTAATGCATCAAGAGATTCCCTGGTTCCATGACTCTTTTCAAGTTGTGCTGCTTTAAGCCATATGCTCTTCCTTGTTAAGAAGACTGTCAAAGCATGAGCATATATAGCTCTGGCCGTCTCAATAGAACCTTTCTTCTTGCATTCCTCTGCATCAGCAACCCATGTCCTCTTCCTATCTTCTTCTTCAACTCCAATCCCAATTGTATTATGGATAATTGCTTGGCAAGTTATAATTGACCCAACACGTTCAGCTGCCTCTGCTTCCTTCATCCAAGTTACACAAAACAGTCTAAGATTTTTCTTGTAGGTGGTGGCTCATGCTCCGGGCAGGGCTATGGTCATGGTGAAGGCTATGGTCATGGAGAGGGTTACGATTAAGGTGGTGGTAATTAAGGACATGCAGGAATATATAATATGGTTGACTCAAATAAAAGAAAATCTTAGTCTGTTTTGTGTAATAAATAAGTAGTAAATGGTCTTTACCAAAACAATAAACATGTAAGATGGTGGACTCCATCCTTTGTGTTTTAGTGAAGAAAAATCAGTTATGTTTCAATGTGAACCAAGAGGAAAAGAAGGGGATAGGTATTAATTTAGTGTAACACTCTCGAAAATCAGTTATGTCCCGAAAGTCATTGCTATAAGCTAGGTATTAATTTAGTGTAACAATGTGGAACTTAGTTACACTATCGCAAAGGCACCAGAGTCACCCAAGTGAAGTCTTAGTCCTCGTTTGAAATTTAGAAGTGAAACGTGTTAAGTATTCAATAAATCTAAAACACCATGTGCATTCTTAAAGAGCTTAATCCATCATGTTTATGTCTGACAGAAAACTAAAGTTCATCAAAACAATATTGCTTTCTGATGCGTGAGACAAATAAAATTTAAGTGTATCTAGATGAGCATGAAACAAAGCCTGCATCCTTTCTTGCAATCCTTAACCGCTTCACACATTCTACAAACTCATCTCCACCAAGAATGCTTTATCTTTTTTTACCTTACTTTCATTTTACCCCTGACAAAGTTTTGGACTTCCATTTAAACTAATTTGATAAAAATATAATATTATGTTACTCTTGGTTGGACTTGAAAGTTGAATACACTCTGAAGATAAATATGACATTTGTTTAACAAATTTTTTGATTTTTCATTACTACCCATAATTTCTCAGCACCGAAACACATAATAATCAGAAAAGTACAGAAGAAACCACGAGAAAGGAGAGATACCGAAAACACAGTGATGCTGGGACTGGGTGGAGGCCTTGAAATCAACAGAAGAAAAAGGTGCAGCTCTGCTCCATCTTCTTATGTTATATGTATTTCATAAACATAGATGTGTTAATCTCTTTTATCTGCTATTGGGCTCCTTCAGTTTTTGTTGCTTATGTTGCTGGCCCAATTGAAAGGATAAGGCCCACTTTGCAACACAAGTAAAACGCTGTCGTTTTACCTTGTGATGGCAAGTGAGGCACTTAACCTCAGCTGAGCTTACAGTGACCATAACGTGATTTTTTCTGATTCGGCTACCATCCAAAAGAACTCTCTCGAACACACTGTTCGCTAGGGTTTGTGAGTGCATTCATTCTGAGAATAATGAGTGATACACTGAGATTTGATCTATGGTGATTTGGAGAAACTTGTTCATCTCAACAAGACGGTTCTATTGATCGGTGTACTTTTCTGATCGACGGTCGAAGGGTGGAAGCTCAACCTTGTGAGGAAGATCTGTGAAGCTGATGTTGATCAGCTTGGAGATCGTGTGAAAGGAACTACGATTCCTTTGCTGGCTCAAAGATTGGTAAGTCCTCTTCAACCATTTGGTTCTGATTCATAATCTTGATGTGGTTTTTTCAAGATTGTATTTCTTGTTGATCTGTTTTCGTGTTTAGTTTCTTCACATGCTTTAATTTTGTATATTTGAAATTGTATACTGTAAACTCTGGTTCTGAACTTGATTTGAATATAGAGTAAATCTCAGAGGGCGTTTAACCCTCCTTAGGCCCCAGGACGTAGGAAACTCATTAACACTGAGTTTCTGAACCTGTAAAATACTGGTGTCTCCTTTCTTTATGCTTTCTTTATTCTGTCTTGCCATGTTCTTTGCGTTACTGTTTGTGAAAAGTATTCCCAAAATTACAACATCTTCCTTCTCAGTAGCATTATTTATTCACCAAGAGAGAGATCTTTGTTTCAATCTTCTGGTCCAGTGACACACTGTTAAGGTTTTTCGATTTGGATGCTAGTTTTTTTTTCCCTTTCTCGTGGAGAGATTTGTGTCAGAACGGGGAAGAGGAAGATAACACAAACACCATTGAAGGAGGAGAAAGAAAACGAAAGAGGAAGCATTGCTGTGGTCACATTTGCAAAGTTCACATACCAAGAGTAAGAATATAGATTAATCACAGCTTTGCCATTAATTAAAGGGTAATATTAGTCTTATGCAACATGTATATTTTCTTATCTCCTTCCCATACATCGATTGGTGTGTCATTTCTTTTTTTCTTTTTTTTTTTTAACGGGCCCTACCTCAAGTTAAGTGTGTAGGAGATAAAAAAAGAATTTGCTGTCACGTAAGATTACAATTACCCTTAATGAAAACATCTCTTCTTCGTGTTTTTGGTGTTTTCAGAACAAAAAGTAAAAAAAAAAAAAAAAAAACACCTCAAAGGTGTTCTGTAATTTCTGTTTTTAAAATTAAAAATTTAAAAACTGTTTTTAAATTTTTTTACACAAAAAAGCAAGTATCAATCATGTTTTTTTGTTTTTAAAATTAAAAAACAGTTTTACAAAACTGAAATCAATCAGGCCTATATTTCTGTTACAGTTTTTTTATTTTTGCAATTTTATTAATTTTTTAAATTATTATTGTCAATAAAGGGTTATTATTTGACCCAATTATTAGGAATGATGGAGAAGTGAGAGTGAAAGATCAAAGTGAGTAAGAGTTTGAGGGTTGTCAAATATGAGGAAACTCCCTTTTAGTTGGGACAAATAAAGAAATAAGAATTAAGAAGGGGACAAAATAGAAAAAGAGATATGATTGCAAAGAGTAGGGTAGGAGAGTATGGCCTCTCAAGTGTCTAGTATGAGTCCCTTTTAATCTTTCTCTGCTGTGCACTATTTCTGCCACTGCCATGATTGGTAGTTGTTTCTTCCAGTTTTCCATCTCAATTTGCAAGCTCCGTTAGTTGGAGATCTATCACACAATCCAACAATTTTATATGTTGAAAGTTGAAACTTTGATTTACTGAATTCTGTTATCCTGTTATCTATTAAACGCTGAATTCTTGTATTCGGTATAGCGGTGTAGCTTCTAGGCCCATTACAAAAATAATGTTTCTTTCTTTTTGTCTAGCAGTGAAGGCCACCCTAGAATTTACTCCTTGTTAGCAGATTGTGGAAAAGTGAAAGTTGGAGGTGCTTACACATTGAAGTAAGAATTTTTTTCTAGTATATTTTTCTATTTAATT